GAACGGGATTGAACTCAGGCCCTTGCACTTGCCAGGGAAATGCTTACTCTACTGAGCCATCTCCGCGGCCCCTACAACCTGAGTAAGACATGGAATGCCATGGTAACCGAGTAATAAAGTGATGAATACTAACATACTAGTGAGTAGATTTTAATGGTTCTCGCCACAAAAAGGTGAGGTAATAGATATGTTAAATAGCCCCACCCATTTATTATACCTTTTTTTTGAGACAGGCCCTCTATACTCACTGTGTACACTAGGGTGGCTTCAAACTAGCGGTGGTCTTTCTCCCTTGGCCTCCTGAGTGTTGTCTGAAATTGCAGGCATGGGCCAATACACTCCGCTTCTACACATACTTCATGTGATAAAAATGTACAATTTTATTGGTCAATTAAAAAAAAATATTTCTGGGCCAGCCAGATAGCTCAGCGGACTAAGCACCTGCTTAGGCAAGCGCAGGGACTGAGATTCAATCCCCAGCACCACATGCTGCGCCGGCCCGCCCCCGAAGCCGGCCCCTGAAGCCCGGCCACTGTGGTACATGCCTGTCATTTCAGCGCTGGGGAGGCTAAGACAGGAGCAATACTACGAGTTTCAACTACATAGTGAGACCCTGTGCTAAATACATTAAAATAAATAAATCTGAAAAATATTAAAAAAAAACATAACCCATGGTGCCCTGGGCCCAAAGCTGGGTCTATTAGGCCAGAACCTCGGATCCATAGCAAGACGCCCTTTGGGAGCACTAGTAAGTAGGGCGAGTCCTCGGTAGCTAGGCAACATAGGTGCTGGGAGTCACACGCCACACTCGGGCTACAAGGACTCTGTCCGTTTGCAGCACGGGGACCTGTACAGAATGGTCTGGAAGGCTCTAAGGCCTGGGGTTCCATGCTATACCAAACAAGGTCAGTCTTGCAGGTGGGCTTGGCCTGTGCATTTCAAACCAGCAGGCAAAGCCTCTGCTGCCACGGCCCTGGGGACAAGGTGACAGCGTGCTGGATAATCCTTTATCCAGAGCCCAGAAGAGCTGTCCTGAGCACTATGGGATGTTAGCGGCACCCTGACCTCTCCTCAGCAGATGTCAGCATAGCCCCTACACTTGCTTGCGGATGTCACAGCTCTAAGTGTCTCCAGCCATCCTGAACCAGACACGTGGGTTACACACGTGCCCCTGGCAACCGCTGCTCTAGGGCCTGGACCCTCAGCGATTCCCGCACTCATCACCTCGAGCCCTGCGAGGGAAGCCGAGACGCCCTGGGGGATGCTGCGCTTCTGGGCGCCGCCCTCAGCCTTTCACTCAGTCTTCCCAGAGGGCACAGCCGGGACAAAGGCGCACCCAGGGTACCAGTGTGTGCACCAGTCCCAGCACCAGGAGGCCCATCAGTAAGGATGGGGGGGATCAGGGGGCTTCAAACAGAAAATAATTAGTAAACTGTAAGCACATGTTGGTGGCTGCGGCCCTCGGAGGGCGGGGCGGGCCTGGAGCGCCTTTACTTGGGACAGGAGGCGGAACTCGACCTCCCGGAAGACCCTTAAGAAGGACTGCCTCCTAGCCAATCATCTCAGCACTCCAGGAAGCCGAGGCGGGAGGACAGCAAACTGAGTCCAGCCTGGTGGGCAATGTAGCCACCTGGCCTGACTGTCTCAGCATAAAAATGAAAAAGGCTGGGATGCATCTCAGTGCGAAGGGGACTGCGTTCAGTCTCTAGTTATTTCAAAATGAACAAGAAAAACCGACGTCCAAGGGGGCCTGCCAGGCAAGTGCAAGGTCCGTTTGCAGCACGGGGACTTTCAGTCTCTAGTTATTTCAAAACGAACAAGAAAAACCGACGTCCAAGGGGGCCTGCCAGGCAAGTGCAAGGTCCCAAATTCAATCCCAGGTACCACGAAAAATCGACCTCCACCACGCACAGCCAATGGGTCCGCGCAGCGCTTCCACTTCCGGGCGCGGCTGCCTGCGCCTGGCCGCAAGCTTTGCGGGCGGGGCGCGCGGAGACTCGGTCCCGCCCCCGCGCAAGGCCACATCCGGGAGCGGCCCCGCCCCCCACCGCCCGTTGGCTCCTCCGGGACTGTGCGGGGACGCGGTGTGGCATCCTCGTCCGTACCTGGCCTCAGGTGAGCCGGGGAGGCGCGTGGCGGCCCCCACTTTGCAGGCACGGGCTGCTGTACCCACGCGGGGCCTTCTTTCCCTCGGCGCCGGGATCCTTCCCGGGGCCGCTGCAGACCGAGCCCCCCAGTCGCCGTAAGTCCTTGAGGTGGCCCTGCCTTTGTCGCGCACGCAGCGCACCGGCGCCGAGGCAGGCAGCAGAGCCTGGGCTGCGGCCCGCGTAGGCCGGCGCCGAACCCCCGAGCGCTTCGAGTCCGGGGCTAGCCCCGACCTCCTGGAAAGTGCAGCGCATTCTGCTAGTGGGGTCCCATTTCCAGACACTTGCTTCGCGCAGGGTCTAACGATGCTGACTTAGTTCTAGCACCTCCTTTTGGGGAGGGGGGAGCGTGCGCACTGAACCCGGGGGCCTTAGCACCGGGCTACACCCCCACCCACTTCTTGCTTTGAAGACCGGGTCCCCGGCGCTGCTCAGTCTCCCGGACTGAGGTTCCAGGTGCGAGCCAGCAGGTTCCACTCCTCTTCTGTTTTGCAAATAGCTAAATTTGCATTGGGCCTGTGCTTTTCCTTCCTCCTTGCCTTTCTTCTGTCCTTTTTTTCTTCTTCACCTTTCCACCTCCTTACAGTTGTTGGGGGTGAGGACAAACCCAAGATTTGAGAACCGGACACGTGTTTTAAAATCCCCTGCGAGAGTCGGTTGTGGCGGCCCCACATGAGAGGCTGAGGCAGGAGGATCAGCAGTTGGAGCCCAGTTTAGTGACTTCCAGAGATGCTGTTGCAAAATGAAGAAGGGAAAAAAGCTGGAGTTGCGGCTCCGTGAGAAGGCCCTGGGTCCAGTCTTGGTGGGGGAGGCTGCGGAGGGTTCCCTGGGATCTGCGGGGAGGAGCAGCCATCCCTCCCCCCCCCCCGCCCGTGGGCCTGTGAGAATAAAAGCTGAGAGTGTGGTAGCATCCTGGGAGACTGAGGCAGGAGGGCCGCAAGTTTGAGCCCAGCGTGGGCCACTTAGTGAGACCTTGTCTTAAAATTTAAACAACTCAGTGCAAGGGCTCTGAGTTCATCCTCCATACAAAACAAAAAACAAAAACTGAAAAATAGCCGCTCTGTCCCTCTGGGCTTGCTCTTGGAAAGGATTAGAGAAAGAGAGTCTTAAGTCTTTGAGCCAAGGCTTGGATAAATACTAAGGCTCCTCCTCCTTCCTAGAGGCTCCGGCTTCTCCCCAGGCGGCGCATGCGCAATTGTAAGCTCAGGGGACTAAGCTGCCACTTTTCCCTCCCCAGCCTGAACAAGGCCCAAACATCCCTGCCAACATGCCCTTCTTTCTTCTTTGTCAGAAAAAAAAAAAAAAAGGTTTCTTCCAAATCTTTAGGCCAGTCTCACACAGGACTTGTCTTGCTTAGCAGTCTCCTGGTGTGCATTTCAAATTTCTGCTCTACAGATTCTCACCTCTATGCCCCTCCGTCCTGTTTTGTTGGAGATGCCCCAAGCCACCTCCCATCTCCACCCCAAAGTGCAGGTGGCCTTGCACAGAGACCAGACCTCAGGGTCTGCACCTGCAGGTCCTGCAACCCACGGGCACCAGAATTTTCAGGAAAATAAAACCTGGCATCTTCTCCTGACATCCAGACCTTTATTTATTTATTTTTGGTGGAACCGGGAATTGAACTCAGGTCCTTGCACTTGCCAGGCAAGTGCTTATTCTACGAGCTCTCTCCAACCCCCATTCAGACCTTTATCCTTGCCTTTATTCCCTAAATGATAGGGGATGACAACTATTTCCATAATATTTGTGTTTTTGTTGCAAAAGTACAGACTGTGTAGTGCGCAAACACCGCCCTCGTATATAAGGGATTTGAGCATCTGTGGATTCTGGTGTCTTGGGTGCCTGGAGCAGTCCCCGGATGCATGATTGTCACACTTCATCGCCCTGTCAGCTGCTTCTTTCCTATGTGCACTCCTTTCTGGAAAATCTCTTCCCTTGCTTTCACTCCCATCACTTAGATTTCTCTGTCTTTGCTTTGCCACTTGGGCATCTCTGAGTGGTAGCGCCTCTGCCCTCTGTGTCATCAGTGTTGCCTGGGCAGCTGCCCCCTACTCCTCCTGGTCAGTCTCAGCACTAACCTGTGTGGGGAGCTTCCCCTCCCTCCCCATGAGCTGCCCCTGAACTGATCTGAAGGTGACCCCCCACCTGCCTGTCCTCGACTTCATGCTTCCTGCTGAATGCTCCTCACTTGTGACCCACTCAGGCCTCCGCATTCCCTGGCCTAGAGCCCCTGTCCTGTCTTGTGGCTGTAATCCTCCCCTCTGTTGTCAGCTTGTGATGTGCCATGGGTCCCTTCTTACTCGTAGTCAAGGTTGTCGGGATGGTTTTCTCTAGAGTCTGGGCTTTAGCTCTGGGGTAGAGTGCTGCTGGCCCTAGCCTGAGTTAGCCTCCAGCACCATGCACGGCACTCACACAAGTTACATTTTAGACTTGTTTATTCAAGGTTGGCTGTCACCATCCTCTGGCTCATGTCACCCTGTCGTGCTCCGGTGGAAGAGAACAGGGTGGCATTGGTGTTGTGCCAGTTGCCTGAGATCCTGGATCCATCTGTCGGGGCTGCTGAGGATTAAAGACCCTGAAGCTGTAGCCCAAGGTAAACCACCCCTTACAGGGAAAATCCAAGTCCCTCCGTGTCCCTGCCTCCTAGGGCTGCCCTCTTGCCCACTTTCCCTGCCTCGTGGTTCTGAGCCCATTTCCAGGTGTGCTTGCCCTTGTCCTGGGCGCCACCAGGCAGTGTTTCTCCCACGTCTGTCTTGAGGGCTCAGTGCGGGCTCACGGTAGGTATTCAGGTGAATAGTTAGGTACAGCGGCCTCTGGGCAAGGCCAATGGGAAGCAGCGCAGGACTGGGGCCTTTGGTACCTAACAGGTCTGTGGATGAAAGGTGGATTTTCCTGGCCATAGCTCTGACATCAGTTTTCTCTTTTAAGGCCCTTTCCCTCCCCTGACACTGGGGATTAAGTCCAGGGTCTTCAGACAGAGCTACCCCCCCCCATCTCGTTTTGTTTTGTTTTTGGTGGTGGTAGTAGTTTTTTTATTTTTATTTTTTAAGCTTTTTAGAACATTTCTTGCTAAGTCGCTAAATTGCCTGGGCTGGGCTTTCACTTGCAATCCTCCTGCCTCAGCCTGTCGGAGCGCTGAGATTACAGGCTTGCGCCACCATGCTTAGTGCCTTTTCTGTGCCTTCTTCAGTACTGTGTTCTCTGCCGTGGCCTGGTCTTAATGCTCTGTTCTGTCTCCTCGCTGCAAGCCGCTTCTGAAGGCGTGGACAGATGGCCTGGCTTGCAGTCTCCAGTGGGAGACTAAGCGCTGAGGGCCCCTGTCATGTGGCCTTGGGAGCGGCTCTTCTGGGCTCGAGGCCTGGCGTTTCACAGGCATTGCCCCACGTGGCCTCTGCTTCCTGCTGCCCTGCAGCTGGCTGTACCCTCTCCACCTTCTGAGACCCTAGCCACCAGAAGGAGATCCTTGGTGGCAGAATCCGAGCCACCTTGTCGAGGGCTACTGGCAGCCCTGCCATCTTCTGTGATCCAGAATGTTGGATGTCACTCATTCAGTGTCCAAATCCACAGATTTTTTAATCTTAGTCTCCTTTAATCTCATCCTCTTTCATGCTAGGAGCATGAAATTGTCCTCCTCCCAGTCTCCTGTCCCTAGGAAGTAACCCTGCTCACCAGGCTTGTTCTAATTTCTTCAGGTCTGGTCTCTTCTTAGCCTTGAGCTTGACCTGCGATCCAGGGACACAAGTGTGTGTGGGGAGGAATGGGGGCTGATGTGCAGGATGGGTGTGTGTGGCCAGGTAGCCCGTTTACCAGCACAGGGCTGGCTGCAAGGATGGTGGGGGAGGGGGGCTTAAGAAAGGCCCATGTAGCACCTCAGGGGACCTCCAGAGGACCGGAGCCTGAGGAGAGTCTCATTGTTGGGGGGTGGGCCCTTGGAGCTAGCATAAGGCCTTGCAGAAGCCCTAGAGGAGTGGAAAGTGAGGGGCCCTCTGGGAGCCCCTGGCAGAAGAGCCCCTGGGGGCCGTGCCTGTGGTCATCAGGGTCAGGCAGAGGCCCAGCCTTGCTCTGCGCGAGGCTTATATCCCCGGGGGCTGTTCCAGGGATGTGAACGAAGCCTGTGTGGCTCAGGAGAGCCTGCTGCTTTATGCAGCAACCTGGGAGCCCCGTGCACCTTCACTGTGCCCACGCTCCTAGGCCAGCGGAGCTCAGGGGCTGGGGACATGGGTCCGGAGTCCCTCCCCCTCCATCAGAACTCACAGCACCTGGCACTGGCCTCTCCTATAGTGAGACCTTGGTGGGCTTTGTGGTGAGACCAGCACCCCCCCCAAGTCTTTTTTTTCTTTTTTTTTAAATAACTTTATTTATTTATTTATTTAGTGTGTGTGTGTGGCCAGTTCAGCCCACCAGGGGGCGGGGCTGGCTGGCATGTGGTGCTGGGGATTGAACTGCAGTCTCTGCTTTTCCTTAGCTTAGCTTGGTCTAAGGAGGTGCTTTAGACCACTGAGCCATCTCACCCCCCCCCCCCCCCCAAGTCTTCAGTGTGCCACTGGTTATGCAGTGTGGTGAACACAGGGGCCTTGCTTGCCTTCCTCTGTACCCATGACACATAGAGAAGTCACCAAGTGCCTCCCACTTCTGAGACCCCAGAAGGAAAAAGGGGACAGTTAGTCAGAAAGCGGAACAGAATCCACTAGTGAGCAAGGGTCAGGGCCCTCGTTGGAACAGTAGAAGTCGTGCTTCCCCAAGGAGCTTGGCATCAGGGGCTCTTGTCCTGGCTTGGACGTTTGTATTCCTGGTGTACCTTGCCTTCTCTCGGGCCTCTCTTGCCCTTCCTCCCTGGGCTTCCACTTCTCCATGGTGTCCCCCAGAGTTCCCTGAGGCTGCTGAGAGCCCCGCTTTTCATCTTGCCTTCCAGCCTCCGCCCATCTTCTCACTGTCCCAAGCTTCCAAGCATATTGGAAATGGAAAAAGTCAAAAGCCCCTCCAAGAGACAGAGCCCCTCAGACCCAATGGGGCAGGAGCCTTGTGTGAGCGCCAGCACCCCTGTGGCCAGACCCAAGAACCCAGCCACCGCCCTGGCGTGTCCCAGCCCTGACTCATGCACCAGAGCCACCAGTACCTCTCGTAAGCTTGGGGCTGCCAGGGAAGGCCTGCCAGAGACTGAAGTCAAACTTGATTTGGCTGACAGAGAGAATAAGGCCAGCAGTGGCCACAAGAAGAAAGTCAGACTCTCCAGCCCCCAAAAGAAGGGGGAAAGCGACTTGCTCCTGAAGAAGGGCATCCTTTGGCCTGTGCCTAGTAGCACATCGGACTGTCCACCTGGCCTGGACCAAGTTCAACTGGAGAATCAGGCAGAAGGTGCTCTTCTTGGCCGCCCCACCCATGGTGGAAAGAGAAAACCCCACTCTCTGGGGCGGCCTGATCTTCAGTCCTCTGCCTCCCATGCCAAGTGCTGGGCCAGCCCGTGGACACGCGAGCCAGAGGGGCCCTCCGGAGCCTGTGACCTCCAGCTTGTCCCTGGGTCAGAGCCCCCCGTGCGGCTTGAGAAGAGGAAAGTATCCAGGCAGAAGGCTCGTGGATGGAAAGAGGAAGGGATGAAGACAAGAAAGAGAGCAAGGTCCCTGCCGTCCAGCACGGGCTGTGCCTCGGGGCCGGTCCCGTCTCCCCTCCACCGTGATGAGGGCACGGGGCCTGACAGGCCGGAGGTGAGCCAGCCCGAGGCAGACAAGGCTTCTCAACAGGCGGGCATCCTCCCAGCCCATCTGGCCAAGGAGCCGCAGTACCCCAAGAAACGGAAGAAAAGGCATCTGCTTTGTGGTGTGACGGAGAAGTCAGGTTCCAAGCCGAGCCTCCAGGAGCCGCCTTGCTTGAGCACCCTGGTTAAAGGTACAAAGTTAGAGGCCCGAGGCTTAGGTTCTGTCCCGCATAACCCAGCCATACCAGATATCAGACAGTTCTTTACTGGGGACTTGAAAAACACCTGCCGTGTCACCTGTACCCTGTGTGGCACCAGTGTCAGAGGGGACAAAGCCAAAGGGCGATCCCAAGGCTTAGGCCTCATTCGGCACCTGACCACTAAGCACAGCATGGAATGGGAGGGAAAGCTAGCCCCAGGCAGTGCAGGCCAGCAGCCAGCTGGACGGGAACAGGCACAGAGGAAGGCTGGTGCCCTCAACCCTGGGGCGCCTAGAGACCCTCCAGCCACTGTGCCCTGGGAGGATGGTGGCAAGGAGCTAACCCTGGGCAGACCTGAGCAGCTACTCCTGGCCCTGCCACCACTGCCTGCTTCTCCTGGATCCGTCAAGGATAGCCCGGGTGACACATACGACCCCACCTGGCCCCAGGCTGAGGCCTGGAACCACAGGATCACAGAGCTGCTCTGTGGCCTGACCCTGCCACTGTCCTTCGTGTCCTCTCTGCCATTCAGGAGGTTCATGGCCCAGGTGGACCCTTGCTACCGCCTGCCCTCGCCAGCTTTCTTCTCTGACAAAGCCTTGCCCTTGCTACACGAGGCCATGGGTGACCAGGTACTTCAGGACATGCAGTGGGCTGAGGGTGGCCACGTCCACATTACCTCTTTCGTGTCAGACCAGGACTCAGCTGTGAGCTACATGGCCATTGCTGCCCACTGGGTGGCCAGCAAGCCTGCATCTCCAGCAAACCTACGGAAGCACGCGGTACTCTGGGTCCGGGGCCTGCCCCTTGAGAAAGCCTCTGAGGATGGGCAGCCTGAACTACTGGAGCAGATCAGCCTGTGGCTGGGCCGTGGCTCCCTGAGGGCTGGTTTCCTGGTATCGGGTGGCTGCCCCAGTCTGGAGTGGGCAGTGAGGGCTGAAGGTTACAGCCACATACCCTGTTTCACCCACTGCCTTGACTCCCTGGTGAGCAACTTCTTGTGTCACCACCATAGTGTCCAGATTATCCTGGGCACTGCCAGGGCCATCTGCAGCCATTTCCAAGGTTCGGCAGAAGCCCGGAGCCTGCTCCACCAGGTCCAGCAGCAGTGTGGCCTCCCAACCCGGCAGCCCTTTGAGGAGCTCTCAGACGACTGGGGCTCAGCCTACTGCTTGCTGGAGTGGCTGGTGGGGCAGCAGCCCGCCCTGCAGGCATATGCTGAGATCCAGCAGCCGGGCAAGGCAGGCACTGCCTTGTCCACTGTGTTCTGGAGCCTGGCAGACAGTCTGGTCAAGCTCCTACAGCCCTTCCAGATGGTAATCCGCGAGGCGAGCATGCCCCAGGCTTCCCTGAGCCAGGTGCTACCCCAGCTGCGCTACCTGCACATCTTCCTGGAACAGGTGCACAGACATTTTCAGGAGCAGAGCGCTGGGGACGTGGGTACAGCCCTGAGGCTGGCTGAGGGCTTGGCCCTGCAGCTCTCCACAGACCGCCAGCTCAACGAGCTCTTCCACCGTGAGGAGTTTGTGCTGGCTACCCTGCTAGACCCGCGCTTCAAGGGCAAGGTCGAGGCTATCCTGCCCGAGGGGGCCGACATTGACCACTGGAAGCAGGTCCTGGTGTACAAGGTGAAGGAGATCATGGTGACTGAATACTTGCCTGCCTCGAGTGCAAGGCGCAAGGGTGTGCACGCGAGCGCCACCCGGCGGGCCAGGGCTGAGCGGAAGGGCCAGCGGGAGTCTCTGCGCAGGCACAGTGACCCTGGCCCCTTCCTGCTGGTGCAGAGGGAGAAGAGCCTGCTGGAGCAGCTGGAGAGTGTGGGCCTCCTGGTGTCCCAGAGCAGCGGGGCCTCTCTCTCCACTGAAAACCACCTGGCCAGCGTCATTGTTAGGAGATACCTGCGGGACAACGAGATCATTGGAGCCCAGGAGGACCCACTGTCCTACTGGGAGAAGAAACGCAGTGCCTGGCCAGCCCTGGCCCAGCTGGCCACCATCTACCTGTCCTGCCCACCCACAAGAGCCTTCTTAGCAAACGTCTTGGCCTCCCTGGACAGCCCCACCATTGTAGACCGGAAGCCCCCCCTCAAAGTAGAGGCCATTGAGCACCTGCTCTTTCTGAAGACCAACCTGGAGAACTTCCCTCACTACACCCCGCCGCACCTTGTCTTCTCCAGTAGTGACCCGGGTGAGGAGGAGCAGACCCCATAGCCCACCGGGCATGCGAGGGTGGGCACACCAGGATGGATGGCAAGCTAGGTTCCAGAGACCTCGAGAGCTTCGAGGTGCAGCCCGCCCTCTGCAGCTCACAAGACTTACTCCGGGAAGACCTGCAGCAGAGAAGCGTGGGGCACAGTTCTACATCTGGGTGTCACCATCTGAGACCTGCGGTGTAGGGACAGCATCTCTGTCCTTGACAAGGTGCCACTTCCTCCCCGTGGGTCCATGTATATCCAGCAGTGTGCAGAGGGTGGTCCTACTGCTGTTCTAGGTGATGTGAGCTTACTTCATGGTGTTTAAAACTGAATTATGAAATATGTCACGTTAGATGTTAGGGACCCACAGAGCTCATCCACGTGGATAAGTGGAAGCGTTCCTTTAAGAAGCAGCTTTCGCCTGGAGCCCATGTCTGTAATCTCAGCTGCTTGAGAGACTGAGGCAGGAAGATAGCAAGTTTGAGGCCAACTTGCCCCAGAAGAAAATATAAAAGGGGCTGGTGCTACCACTCAGTGGTAAAGTGCCCTAGGTTTGATCCCTACACCCAAACAAACCCCAGACTTCCCAAAGAGGAAGGGAGGAAGCCGGAAGCAGAGTAGCCGTCCTGGAAGGGAAGTGCGTACACCATGCACACACAATAGTCTCGGGGACCCCAGAGTGGCCAGGGAACCCCAAGGGCCAGGACTCTGCAGCTGACCCAGAGAGCCAGGAGGTGCCCAGTCTGCAGCGGGCTGTCCTTAGGCCCAGGCTGCTAGGTCCTTGTTCCACCTGGCAGCACCTACCCTTGCCCCTGTCAGGGCAGATACATGTATTTGGAAGAGGGGAAGGGTGGGTAAGGACCCCCTGTACCCCTGAGCACAGCATCTGCAGACAGGGAGCCAGAGGGCTTGAACTGGAGAACATGGGGCGGGTGGAGGCCAGGCCCTACACATCCCACTGGACTTGTGTCCAGGTAGCCTGAGTGCTGGTCCCTAGGTGAGGCGGCCACTGCAATGGGGCCAAAGAAGTGGGGGAGGGTGTTCTCAACCTTGTAAACCATCTCACTTGAATGGCGACCCCAGAAACCTCTCCGCAGCCCCTCTGAGATTGCCCGTCCTGTGTGTCACTGGGACTCAAGTAAAACATTGGGAAATGACTGAGGGTGCCAAGGACCAAGGAGAAGGACCCGTAGTCCTGATGTTCGTAGACTGCCTTTCAGTGCTTTGCCTTGCTCCCCTTTGTACACTGAGATCAGACCCTCTAGACTAGTTTTTATGCAGTGTTTTTATATGATCAATAAATGTAGCGTTTTTGAAATAGTGCTTTGTGAGCGTCCTATTCAGTGGCTGGAGAGGCACAGTGACCTCCAGGCTGACCTCTTCTGAAGTGCTCTGCTCCCTGCAGTGCAGGAGTGGACAATAGGTGGATAATGGTGGTCACGGGCCCCCTTGGGAGCGAACATGTGCCATCCTGACCTGCATTGGCGGCCACCACTGTGTGACCACTGACCCAGCTCCCCAGCAGAGAGGGTAGGTGGGAAAGGAAGAGGATGAGCACTTGGGGGTCCTGAGCTAGGATCTTTGTTTGTGACTGAGGACACTTCTGTCCCCCAGGGGACATTAGTCCATGTCCAGAGACAGCTATGGGTCTTTCCACTAGGGTGGTTCAGTTGGTGTCTAGTGGGCAGAGGCCAGCAGCACCCACAGCAAAGACTGGCCTTTCCAGAACGATCTCTGAAGTGTCTACGGAGGGGGCTTGGGGCAGAGGAGGGGGTCCCCCATCTCTCCTTGGCTTAGTTCCTCCCTGCCCTGCTCACTTCCCAGGCTTCATTTTCTGGCCTCATTCCCTAGAAAGGTAAACTGAGGCTAGGCGTAGGTGGGCGTGTTTTCCCTTGGGCATAACCTCCTTCCAGAGTCCCAGGAATGATGGTGCCTGGTCCTTCTGAACTCTGGCGGGGCTAAGTGGATTATGTCCTTCCTTCCCATGCAAGGTGGGCTGGCTCTGCACCACAGGCCCAGCTGGAGCCCTTGCAGAGGCAGCCATCCACAGTGCTGATCTACCATCCGCTGCCTGGGGTGCTCTGTAAACCCAGGAAAGGTGGGGTTTCCAGTGGTCACACGATGCTGCGGTCACCCATCCACCCCCACCCCCAGTGGCAGCTTCTCAGGGAGGGCAGGACAGCTGCGAACTGCTAGCAGGTGCCAGAGCCTGCACCTCCTGCCCGGGTGACCCTCTGGGACAGGAAGCGCTGCATTCTTCACAGTTAGCGCCTTCTGTTTCACAGCTTCTCTCTGAGCTGTGTTTACAGCCATAGTGCGGTGACAGCACTGCCATCATCCCTGTGTCCCTGTCTGCCCACACCTGGTGCCGTCCTTTCCAGTGCCATCTCTTGAAGCCAGTCCTTCAGGCCGGTCCCTCCCCAGCCCTGTGGCTGGCTTTGGCTCTGCTGCCACCTGTGACTGCCTATCCAGGGTTCCATCTTGGACCTGTTCTTGGCCAGTGTCACTGTCCCTCTTGGAAAGCCTCGCACCATCCTCGGTGCCCATGTGTGCCCCCAGGTTGCCCAAGCAGCTCAGCAGCAGGTGGGCCTCTGGTCTACCCTCTCACTGCACGCCGTCTCCTAACCATTTCCCTGACAGCTATTCCCATGCTCTGTCCCCAGGAGGTTGGGCTGTGCCCACATCCTCCTCGGCTTCCCACTGCCACCCACCTCTGCTCAGAGTGTCTGGGTTTCTGCAGTCTGCCTCTCCTGCCCCGTCAGTCCCAGGACTTTCACTCAGCACTGCAGGGGGAAGGTCTTTGTCCTACCGAGGGTCGAGCTCTGTGTCCTGCACACCATGCAAGCACTCAGCCACTGAGCCTTCCCCACCCACATCCCTCAGATGTCTTCTTGTCGCATCTTGTCCCCTTTGTCTCCTGTCTAAGGAGCTCCCTGCCAGCCACCTGGCTGGATCCATCCACCTGTCCCCTCCTTTGGGTTGGGCCTGCGTCTCTTGCTGATGCTTGTGGCAGACACTGGTGCCCAGTGTCCGCCAGCACCCTCTGCCTTGTGCGTGAGGGCAGTTGTGATCACAAATGAAGGTGGGTCACACCCTGTTCCACACTCAGTGGTTGCTGTCAGTCTCTTTCTGTTGGGATGGGGTGTGGGAGGTATGTGCAGGACCTGCTCAAAGCCCCCCACCTCCCTGTGGGGACCCCTTGGTGGCAGGGCGGGCGGAGCTGAAGTCCAGGGCTCTGGGCTGGTTTCCGTGGAGGAAGAACAAAAGTGGTGTTAATCGTGTGAAGCCCGACTTGGAGGCTGCCAGCGCCTGTGCCTGCAGATCGCATAAGCAGCAGGGACAGTGGTCCTCAGGACCTTTACCTGTGTCACCTGCCTGCCCTGCTTAGCCTCCCACATGGGAGCCGCCTTGGAGCAGAGGTGCACTTGGATTGTCCTCCCTGCTGCAGCCTTGACCCTCTGGGCAGCATCACTACGGTCCTTCCCGCCGCCTCTTCATACCCCAACCTCCCACAGGCACTGGGCCCTGACATGGCCTCCACCCTTTAGAGCCAGCCCAGGTGCCTCCACGCCTCCCTCTGGATAGTGTCCTCAACGCTAGTCACCCCCAGCTTGTTGTTTCAAATGGTGACATACTTTCAGGTGATTCTGAGTGATGTGGCACACAGCGGCCAGTGCTGTCGGCTGACATGGCTAGTCGGTGCCAGGGCAAGGTGCTGCTGTGAGTGGGCAGCATGGGCGTGGAAACCAGCTGTACCCACTGACTGCACGGCTTCCCTGGCCTTAACTCCTCCTTCGCCTAAGATGAAAGGCATAAGCTCCGTGGCTCCAGTCAAGATGTTCTCTGGAAACCACATTAAATTTAGAAAAATTGAGAGATTTTTTCTCTTGCGAAGCCGGGGATTGAACTCAGGCCTTGTGCTTGCAGGGAAGCGCTTATTCTAGAGCCATCTCCCCCCACCCCGCTCTCTCTTTTTTTTTTTTGAGACATTTTGTTTTGTGTTTTGACATAGTACTTGAGATTGATCCGGGAGCCTTCACACTGAGCTATATTCTTGGCCTGTTTTTCATTGTTTTGAGACACTGTTTTCCTGAGGTACTAAAGTGCCCAGGCTGGGCTCAAACTTAAGCTCTCCTGCCTCAGCTTCCCTGAGTGCTCAGATCACAAGTGTGCACCACCACACCCAGCCGAGAGCATTTTTGGAACGCATGAAACAGTGCAGGGTGTTCTCTTGGGGTCTACATGGACAGATCTATCCCAGGAAGGAAGCAAAATACATTGGTGGTGGCAGTGACCTGGTGTATTTAGAAATAAAGCTGATGTTTTAAAGTTGAGCACATCAGTGACGTCAGCAAGGATGGGCTTGTGCCCCTACCCCAGACCTGACCGAGTCAGGATAGACTGGCAGAGTTGGCCGAGTCCCAAACCGCATGGCTGTCCTGGCCGGGCCCAGCCAGGGCTACCTCTGAGGCAAGGGCCTGTGCCGTGCGTGTCTTAGCCTTGGCATCCTGCTTGCTGGCTCTGGCGGTAAAGGCACAGGTCAGACATCAAGCTGTCATCAAGCTGGCAGAAGTGCCCGGGAGAGTCCCACCTGACCTGTAACCGTCTCTCCTCAGGGACCCGTGGGCCCTCCTGACGGGAACCCTCCCTGCACCGGCCTGAGAATACCCAAAGGTGCCTGTTTTAGGGCAGAGCAGCAGCTGACCCCACTGGCACCCAGGCCCCTGTCACAGCCCTGCCAGGGCCCAAGCCACCTGAGCTAGCTGGTGTCCTATGGAGCCTCCAGCTGAGAAGCCAGGGGAGGCTGATGGGCCACGCATCACACCCCAGCTGCTGAAGTCGCACACGGGTGAGTTCTCCCTGGAGTCCATCCTACTGCTGAAGCTGCAGGGCCTGGGGCTGGCAGACCTGGGCTGCTTGGGAGAGTGCCTGGGCCTCGAGTGGCTGGACCTGTCGGGCAACGCGCTTACCCAGCTCGGCCCGCTGGCCTCCTTGCGCCAGCTCACTGTGCTCAACGTCTCCAACAATCGGCTGACCGAACTGGAGCCGCTGGCTGCCTGCGAGAGCCTGCAGAGTCTCAATGCTGCGGGCAACCTGCTGGCCACCCCTGGTCAGCTGCAGTGCCTGGCCGGGCTGCGGAGCCTGGAGTACCTGCGCCTCCAGGACCCTTTGGCCCGGCTCAGCAACCCGCTGTGTGCCAGCCCATCCTACTGGGCTGCAGTCCAGGAGCTGCTGCCTGGCCTGAAAGTCATCGATGGGGAGCGTGTGAGTGGCCGTGGCAGTGAGCTCTACCAGCTGTGCCGGGACCTGGACAGCTCCCTGCGCCCCAGCTCTTGTCCTGGGCCCAGAGCCATGGAGGCCCAGCCTTGGGTAGAGCCTGGGTACTGGGAGTCCTGGCCCCCCCGGAGCAGCTCCATCCTGGAAGAGGCCTGCAGACAGTTCCAGGACACGCTGCAGGAGTGCCGTGACCTGGACCGCCAGGCCAGTGACAGCCTGGCCCGGGCAGAGCAGGCCCTCTGCCCTGAAGGCTTGGCCTCTTCTTTTGTCTTCTGAGCACGCCCTGTGGCCTGGAGGCTGCCTTTCCTTTCCTGTTCTGCATGCCAGCCTTCACGGTGGTCACTGACCCTGCATGCACAGCTGTGGGGTCCTCTGTCCTTGTCCTCAGAGCCATGCCAACTCCCCCACCTTCCCTCTAGGACACTCCCCACCCTCATATATGGGCAGGACGCAGCTCTCAAGCAGCATGTGGCTGGGATCGAAAACATACCGACACTGCACACCTGCCTGTGCAGGCGACAACGGCCCACCGTGCCCAGGCCTGTGCTTCTGGAGCCTTCTCTGTAAGCTACCCTCAGCTCCATTAAACAGTTCTAAACTCGTTTCTGTCAGTGCCTGGTCTGCGGGGCCTCTGCCCCTGGTCCTGCACAAGAGCTCCTCTTGTCTCCTGCGCACCTGTCAGCCACACACATATGTGCACCCAAACCCTCCATACCACCCTTTTTCCTGTGGCTTCCTACAGGTTGAGCTGAGTGTCCCGGGCAACATGAGAACTAGGACACAGGCTTGGAGAACAGTTTTATTGGCCCTAGATGTGGTGGATCTTCTGCCTGGGAGCGAGGGGCCACCTGCCGCTGTTGGGGAAGCCAGCTGTGATTCTAGAGGAGAGGAATGAACCTAAGACTCCAGTACCATACCATCTCCTCTCAGTCCCAGCTCTCTGCCAGGCTCTGGCCCATCTCTTTGTCCTGCCCCCCACAGCCCAGCACATCCCAGTCTCCACCACAAGGGCTGTCCCTGCCCTCGGCCACCTACCAGCCCAGGGCTCAGCTGGGGGGCAGCGCCCTGGAAAAGGCAAACTGTCCAGGGAAATAGAAGCTGTGGGGGTCCTCGCCGGCCCGCTGCACCTTGCTGCATGGGGGCTCCTGGAGCTCCTGATGGCACCAGCAGTTGGTCAGGCAGTGCCCAAGTGCCAGCATAGCCCGGGAATGCCTGCCGCGCCTAGAGCCCCTCCGTGCTCCTCCTCCTCATGCTAGCTCCTTCCCAGCCTCTGCCCTGCTTACCTGGCCTTGGGTCTCTAAGGGGCAGTGGACCATCCGGCCCAGAACCTTATGCGCAGGATCCAGTTTGATGCAGGCCAGACATTTCCGCTTCCTCTGGGGAGTGGGAGGGTAGTGAGGGTGGTGCTGGGGCCCATGGAGGAGACTGCTGCCCTGGCAGACTGTGGCCTGGGGCACGAGGGACCCTGCAGGCCGCTTGGCTTTGCAGCCACCCCAGGAGTGGAAAAGTTGGAAAGTCAAAGAAGCCTGAAGTGATTCATGCCAGTAATTCCAGCCCTCAGGAGGCTGAGGCAGGAGGATTGCCACTAGTTTAGGGCCAGCTGGGCTGCGTAGGGAGTTCAGGGCCTGCCTGAAGTACATGGTGAGGCCCTGCCTCAAAAAACTTAAAAATCCTGAAGTTTCACACCATGGCACTTCAGTGGTCATGGGGGCAGAAATCCTTCCCAATGTGTGCCTGTCCACATTCATGCCATGTGTAGATGAGCGGGGGTGGGGTTGGGGGACAGGGGTGAGGTGAGGTGTGGTGTGTGCAAGCACATGCGTGGGTGCAGGTATGTAACGGACCAGTTCACCCAGGTGAGCTCTCTCCTGACCCCACCAGAGCCTCTCCGTGGAGTCCAATCCTCTCCCTTAGCGGAACTCACAAAGCCCTGGGGTGGTGCTCCCAGGGGGATCTGGAACCCCAGCCCAAGGACCAGCTGTGCAGCAGCTGTGCCCTGGTCCCTGTGAAGCCTGCTGTGAGTGGACCATGGCCTGGAGCAGGCGCTGTCCAAGCCTGTCCCCGGGCTTTTCCCTCCAGGACCCTGGGCCCTTGCTTAGGCAAGTCCGTCCTCCCCTTGCCTGCCCAGCCTGCTTTCCCACCTAGGCCAGGCCAGTGTCCACCTGTAGAAGGCGTCTCACAGTGGGCCCCTTCCCCAGGGCTTCTCGCTGGCCCTCTGGGTTCTGGCCAGCAGCAGCCCAGGCCTCCTGCCACATGCTCACCCCGTTGGGCTTGACTTTGCACTCGGGTTTCTTCCAGTCCTTCTTCCGGCAGCCCGTCTGTTGGAGCCGGAATTCCAGCCTCACAAAGGTGCCCGCTGGGAAGGGCTGCGGATGACAGGTGGCCTTTGCTATGAGCTGGGTGCTGTGACCCAGCCCCGCCCCCACCACACACTTCCAGCCAGCGTAGCTGAGGAGGTGGCCTTTCCCCTGCCAGCTTCCCGGAATTGTGCTGGTCTCCTGGGTGTAGCCCTCGGCCTCCCAACCTGGCACGTCCACAGCCACGAACCGTGTCCATGGCGCTGTCCACACTTGTCTCCTGGAAGGCCCACTGCACAGGTGGGTGCCTATGGAACTCCTCCAGGGCCACCTGCAGGCCCTTGCGCTGAACCGCGGTGAGCTCAAGACCACCCACACCCTCTGTGCCTAGCCACAGGGCCAGCAGGATCAGCAGCCGCCACATGCTTCAGGCCTGCAGACCACAAAGTGTAGTCCTTAGTTCTTCCACCGGCAGAGAGCCACCACCTCCTGCGGGGGGGGGGGGGGACGGGGACGGGGAAACAGCCTTTCCCGGAATCACCCCCATGCCTGCACACACACCCCCCTGCGCAGAGGTTCAGTGGAATTCCTGCCAGCAGCCCCATTTCTAGCCTGTTCCCTCCCCCTGAGCCTTCCCTGCCCCCCTTCTAGCCTTCAGTCTGGAATCTCCCGGCTCCAGAGCCCGCATCCCATCCCAGGCCCAGGCCAGCAGCGGGGGCGGGAGGGCAGACAGCTGGAGGCCAAATGTCCCTGGCAGGAGTAAACAGGCAGGCAGAAGGGGGCTGGGCTGGACCCTCTGTCCTCTGGGGCTGGGGCTGCCATCAGCCCTGTGGTGCCCAAGAAAGGGGGTTTCTCCTGCCAGGTCTCAGCTTGCCTCCTTTCTATTACCACCACCTCCCTCCAGCTCCCTGGGGAGAGCCCTGCCTGGACAAGGGGTTTTGGGGCTCACCAGAAAAGAACTGGTGCACAAAGTGAGACCTCCAGTGAAGAAGGCCCTAGGGCTGTCACCGTGAAGCAAGGGTTTTAGATGTGTGGCCCAAGGTCCTTGTCACCCACCCTTCCCTTGCTGTCCCTCCTCACCTCCTTCCCTGTCACTTCGGGTTCTGAACCAGACTTCCCCTCTGAGAGGTTGGTGCCTCTCAGGCTCGTCCTGTCCCTCCCCCAGCCCTGGCACCGCCCTGCAGCAGCCCCAGCCCCTCCTCCTGGGTCCCCTCCAGCCTCTGCCGCTCCTCCCCCTCCCCCAGCGCCTTGACCCTGAGCCTGGTGTGCGGTCTGCTTACCCGGAGCAGGAGGCCTGGAGGTCCCACCTCCCCTGGGGCCAAGTTTCTCCCTGCCACTGCCACTGCCACCACCACTGAGGCACTGATCCAGTGCCTGAGTGGCTTCCGGTGACTGCCCCACTACCCAGGTAAGGCCCTAGGCCTAGCTGGATAAAGGGAATCTCCAGCTCCCTGAAACCTTGATTTCAGGGAATTCTTCCCAGAAATACAGAAACCCTTGAGCCCCAGGGGGCCTTGAGAGGCGCCCCCTGCTTTCCACCCCTAGTGACACACTGAGAAGCAGGATTTCTCCACAGGGCTGGCTGGTCCAGGGTCCAGCACTGATTTCCTGGCTGTTCCTTATGTCTTGTCCTTGGGACAGAGAGACCACTAAGGGACAGACGACAACATCCTGGGCCCTCAACCTCGTAGACATTGAAGGATGAGTTGTATTCTCTTCTCGGTGGCCCAGAGGCTGGACATGCAGATGCCCCAAGCGTGATAACTAAGAGCAGGTGGAAGCCTGCCACCTCAGCCTCCGTCTCCTGTCTCCTGTATTAGCTTAAGGCTCTGGGTCCACTCCCTGCCCAGTTCTGCACGGAGACGTGCATCCAGGAAATGTTGACTTGCATTCACCTCACCTCTCCCTCTACTTCAGCACTGAGACCACCAAGACAAACTTCCACTATCTGCTGGATCAGCAGGATTTTAAAACCCCTATTTGGGAATCCCTCTAGGGCAGTGGTGGTGAACCTGTGGCATTCGTGCCACCCCGGGCTGTTCGTTATCCTAGAAAGGTCTAAGAAGTTCGTCATTGCTGTTCTCTAACAATGCCTAGAAGTCTCCAGCCATTGTCCTAAGCCTTAGTCACCTTGGGTTCCAGGACAAGCAGAGCCTCACAGTCCACCCCATGGCAAGGGCTGCCATCCAGCAAAAGGATCACCTTGTAGAACCAAAGTGGCTTGAAAACATGAGCTTCCTCTGGAGCAAGGAAGCCAGGGCTGAGGTCATGGCCAACCAGAAGCTAGCTGAGACCAATCAGAACCTGGCCCACCACCCCACCACGTAAAGCTGGTCCTCCACTCTTCTCCCCACCCTGTACCGGGGATCAAACTCAGGCCCTTGCGCTTGCCAAGGCAGGCACTTATGCCGCTGAGCTATCTCCCCGGCCCTTCCATTCTTTGTTGGTAGCCGGTCCAGCCACCTTTTCAGAGCTGTGTCCCTTTCAGTCTCTCAGTAGAAGCCATTTTTCTGTCTTGTCTTGCTTTCCTTCGGTAAGGGTCTGCCTTGGTCTTACTTTCCCACTGTTTTCCTGTAGGTTTGTGCCCAATGCCGCAGTGGACGCACCCCAGGAGGGGGTGCTAGGCTACCTCAGGTATGGCCTGGGGCTTTCGCTGGGCTGGGTCTGAGCGGTCCCAAGGCTGAGAGGAGGAGCCTGTCCCACTTTTAAATTAAGTTTGCAGGCTCACTGCCTCCCATCCTAGAAAGAGAACTTTCACAGCGTGTCAGTAAAAGAGACACAAGAAGGGTTTCCTGGAGTTTTGAGGCTGCAGCTGCAGGCACTCCAGTGAGGCCTGCGGGTACATTTACGGGGTGTCTTCAAGGTGGGGTGACCTGGGATGTGCATTTTTCCTGCCTGTGAGGACACATGTGTTTGAGGTTGTGATCTGCTGCCCACCATCATCACTGCTGCTGGGGGTGGAGGAAGCCAGAGTGCACTTCTCGTGAAGGACCTTTAGCACTGATTGATGGATCAATTAATTGATTTAGTGAATTTCCTAGAAGGAAAAAGACTTCAGGTACTGTTCAGACTTGAAACAGTAGGGTTTTTTTAAAGTATAATTTACAAAAATCAGAAAACAAA